ATATTCCATTCGGAAACCTCCGTGCCGTCGATTCCGTCACCTTATCAGATGAAGTGGGAATCGGCCAAGGTGTACCGAATGGAGTTTAATCTAAAAATATGATAATGGGTGACGCAACGTGATGTGATGTAGAATTTACATGTCAAGAACAAATTTTAAATTAATTCATAACAAACACTGTTTAAACAAAACTGTTCCATCTAGCCTATTCCCAAAAGTATGTACTGTGTGATTGTGGTGTCGAGAGGGGGGGGGGGGCGATTAGTAAATTTAAAAAAGGTCCTAATATGAGCAAAACATTTATCAAAATCTAATTTACATTATTAATAGAATTCAAACTGGTATATAATGAATTAAGCATGTAAAATAAGAGGTTCTGAGTTATAGGTCACAGGGATAATTTCATATCCAATTTTATGAATACATATGTAAATTACAGGCACGTAGCAACCGGGGGGGGGGTTGATGGTTGCCCCCTCCCCCCACTTTTAACCACAGTATATACATTGCAAGGAAATATGGGAAAAATTGGAAGTGAAATTAATTTTGCCTTGAAAAAAAGTAGCCACCATCCCCCACCCCCACCCCCCCCCCCCATTTCATTTTTTTACCTTGTTAATTTTTTTAGGTTAGTAAAAAAATTTTCTCAGGTTGCCCCCCCCCCCCCCTTTCAAAAACGATGATACGTGCCTGAATTATATAGAATTATTTTGACTTTTTCCTTGGTAAGCCGCCCGTAGGATTGTGTATTTAGAGGCAAACACCTTAGTGCGGGTATTACTGTCTCATGACAGCATCTAGTTATTATTATTATTATTTTTATTATTATTATTATTATTATATCATGTCACAAGTTTAGAAATGTGGATGGTTCTCGGAATTTTTTCTCATCAGAAGTGGATTAGAAAAAGACTTGGAAAATATTAGTAACATTTGAATGAAAAAGCAACATAGACAAATCACTTTAGAAAAACATACCAATCCAGGTGAATTTTATTAGGAAAAGCTAAATGGTAAAAATCAGACTATGTGATATTGCTAATTTTTTGTCATTTTGATCGTCCCCTCAAAATTCACCTGGCTTGGTATATTTTTCTAAAGTTTATATTACACATTTAGCACCAAGATAACATATTCTGAAATTTGTTTTTACCTGTAAACCTTTACTGAATGTGATTTGTCTATATTTTTTTTTTATTGAAATATTTCTAATATTTTAGACGTCTATTTCTACTTATAATCGCAAAATACCTCTTTAACGTCATATCGCGAGAACAAAAATTCGCGAGTAAATGGTTGATCGAGAAATTTTACATTGTTTCCAGCAACATGAAAAGCCAAATCATTTCTTTCGCGTGGTGTGCTTATTGTCAAATAACGCGAATATTAATTCCTAGCGTGTATTTTTGAATCAAAAGTCTTTTTTTCAATTTGTTTATTCATGATAAACTTCTATGGCTATAATTCAATACTATTAATAAAAGGTTTTGCCTGGAATAAGAATTTTCATAGAATAAGAATGGATTGAAGATTAATAATAACGAGGCTGAAATGTAGCAGCATCATGTATAAAAAAAAAGTTGAAACTCCTTGTTACATTAAAATCCTCATATCATTATTTATTAACCTATTTTTATTTCTTGTAAATATCCCGTGTGGAGCCCCTTCGTTTTTGGACATGTGTTCACTATAACTTTTACTGAACATCAATTCACTAGACCTTAAATACCGACTGTCCATGCAAGTTAATTTTGGACACGGCAATCCAGAGAGGAGGACGTTTCTCATCACTGTATAATATGGTTTTTTGGGGGTATCCCTGCATTTATATTTTGCATTTACCGAGTATCACTTGCAGGGCTATTAATTTTTAGCATGTACGAGAGTTGTCTAGTGAAATTATGGACTAAGTGTTTTTCTCGAAAAAAAAAATGGCGCACTAAGCTGAAATTTTCAGTAAATAATTATTTATCATATATACGTGCATCATATTTTTTTCGATTATATATAGACAAAACTAAAGATTTTATTATGCTTGAATGTGCGCAGGGTACGGACCTACGGTGCATGGTAAAGAAAAAAAAGGTGATATTTGAGAATACACAAGTATTAATTCGATATCAAAGTTTAAATACATAAGATTGGGATGAAAATTATCCTAATTCGATTCCACAATCAATTTAGTCGTCTTCTTCAGAATTTTAAAGCTTAGGGTTACTTTTTGGCAGTTTTCCGAGCATTCAAAATGATGGGAAAGCGGTTATCATAACACACGAAAAATGGCGACGTTTGATGACGTTACGGCGCACCGGAGAGCAGTTTGATAAAGATGTTGTTATGACATCATAAGAAACTTTAAAAGAATACAGAATAGAAAAAAAATATTAAAAATATTACTAGACCTTAGTATACAAATGACATGGAAGTTTCTTTAGCGAAATCTTTTAAATCGAGTCTCCTGGTAGTACAAAACAAACAGACAAACTGATTTTGTAATAGCAAAAGACGTTGTCAATGTCGACCGTCGATATAAGATTTTCTATTAATTGAATGATGGTGATACATGTAATACTTACTAATAATTCTACGGAAGATCGCATGTGTGTGCCAGATTGGTTCATAAACTGTTTGTGATGAATCAAGTATGTGAAGCAATGGAATTTCTGATTTAAGTGGGACTTATCCAACTTTAATTTAGCAAAGATGAAACGTGATGCTGTTTTAGACACTTGGACGTTACATTTATCTTCCATGCGCCGTAGAGCGATACAATACATAAAATATCTCACAATTTGTTTATTTATCTATTTGAAATTTGCTATGGATATTTATAATATATGTACTAAATGGTGATAAAAATTTCAGAACGCGGTGATGATTATATTTTAAACTAGACAACTTGTCCACGATTCTTTCGGCCACCCCTTGTATGTTTCGTTTAATTTGATTTGTACGAGTGGTGATCAAAAAGTTCACGAACTAACTCTATATCTACAAAACCACAATTCAGATTAGAAGAAAATTTGGTTCACACATAGCCATACACAAATTCTATAAGTAGCATCTGCTGAATAAAGTATTGCTCCTTGTTTGTGACGTCACAGTGTTAAAATTACGTCACTATATAGGTCACTTGTGACGAAAAATGGTTGTTTTACTCGTACTCGTTCCACAGGCGACTGTAAAATTTTAAGTTTTCCAACAAGGTTAAGTATTTCAACAATGTATTGGAATTCTCATGGGTACAAATTGCGCTCCGTTATTAGCAGACTTATATTAATTTTCATATGAAGCAGAATTTATGCAAAATCTTATGCGTGAAAAGAAAAAAACACTTGCAGTGCTTTTCAACACGACATTTCGATATATCGACGACGTATTGTCTATTAATAATGGTAATTTCCATTCCTACGTCGATACGATATATCCTGGTGAGCTTAAGATAAAAGATACCACAGAGTCCGACTCTTCTGTTTCATACTTGGATATTTTCCTTTAAAAAGACACTAAAGGTAATCTAACAACCCAGCTATATGATAAACGTGATGACTTTAATTTTTCTATCGTCAACTTCCCTTACTTATGCAGCAATATACCTTCATCTCCTGAATACGGAGTTTACATATATCAGTTGATTTGATCTGCAAAAGCATGCTCTACGTATTAACAATTTCTTAAACTTTGTAATGATCAATATCAAAAACGGAAAAAATTCGTCGTCAATTCAGTGTAAAAATAATGGACTAACATTTGGTATGAAAAACGTCAGTCAGCATTTGACTCAATGATAAACTGTACATGTATTTGCTGTCAAGGTCATTGTATCGACCATGGAACTAACTAAATGATGACTTTTAACGAGACTACTGATATTCTTGTTTCATCAACTTGCTTGTCAATAATTTACCTCGTTTCAGAAATTGTTCACACGTTGAGCATGCTCTTGCGTATCGAATCAACTGAGATATATATACTCCGTATGCAGGTGATGGAGGTATATTGCTGCATTAGTAAGGGAAGTTGACGATAGAAAAGTAAAAGTCATCACATTTATCATATAGTTTGAATTGAAATGGAAAAAAAAGTTACCTACACATTCATTATTGCAAAAAGTTTTTATTAGCATGCCTTTAAAATTGAATTTGAAAATAAGTAATCTGTGATATCTTTTTTCAAATGCACTTGTGCGTTCTTATCAATACTTAAAAGAGCGGAATTTAGATTACTCTACCTAAATACACACCATACACTGTTTATTTAAGTACTCTGGTCCATAGGTTCTTGTCATTCTTGTCATTGGGCATAGATTAATTAAAAATACTCTCTGAATCTTCAAAGTGATGTGTTTTTACCCACGATATTTCTTCAAACTTCATCTTTAAAGTAGTAAATCGTGTCATAAAGGTAACATTAGTTAATCTGAAATACATTTTAGGGAATGCAAATAAAAACACCTTTTTGCATTTTCTAATTAAACTTTGATCAACAAAAACATTTTAGAAAAAAAACAATATATTCTTGATTTAAAGAAATGACACAATTTAAATAAATATAGAAACTAAAATTTCTTCAATTTACTTGATTTTCCTATCAATTAAAAACATCATAAATCACATCTAATATCATTTCACGTGAAATAAACGTTGGCATCTTTGCTAACATAAAAAGAACTTTAATTTCTTAAAATACCTATGTATTTCTAAAATGTATATTGGGTAACTGTTTCAACTTTTTATAAAACCTTTCTGAGAACTTCAAAGAACTTTGAAGCACCTTTAGAGGTATAAAATGAAAATTGTTGCATGACAAGATTTAAATTTCAAGATTCATTTAGAAACTTTCTGAATTAAAATAGAAATTAAGTTGTCCTTCCTTGCTGAGGATCAGAGTACCTTAAATAATAATGAATTTCACACTTTGTGAAGCAGTTCACAACACAAATTGTTGGGGGCATATTCATTTGAAATATGTGAAATCAAACATATTACTGAAGCTTTCAACTACAGTTCACAGACATAATTATATTGGGCTTCGGGAACATTGTCGTAGCATTTGAAGTCATCCTTTGTCATGGATCTGAGGCGAGTCTCTATCGAGCCATTCGATGCCACCAGTGGACAGAAGTGGATGAAGGGCGCTCCGTCATGGAACCTCCATTCTCCGTTCACCTTCCTCCCCTGTATCCAAACCTCAGCTCTGCTGATGTTAGCTGTCAACACTGAAATGAAAATTATGGAGCACAATTAGTTGAACTATGAAACACCACCTGTCGTTTCATTCCAGTGTTTGAAAAAGAGGATCATTGATATATCATTTTATATAATTTTAAAAAGACAATAAGAAAGACAGGTTTCGCGGGTTTATGTAGCTAAGAGTACACCGAAAAAGAAATAAAGTGACATCATATATTCTTTCGAGCTTAACAGACCCAAAATGTTACTGATTCTACTACGATGATAAGCAGATCAAAGTCATACTAAAAACTCTCTTGAATTCAAGTTAGTGTAAGCACTGCACTATACAATGAAAACGCATTGTTTTTTAAGAACAACACAACTCTGTTAACGTTCATTTAATGCTGACTCCCAAGAATTCCAGAGATGGGGTCAGGGGTCTGGGAGGAGAAGTCCGCCTTTGTTGACCAGTCACACCCTTCCGTCAGCCTAAGCATCAGGAAATTTATTTTACTGCGCAACAATGGTCTAAATGAGACCAAATACATTTGGAAGAAAAATAAGATATATATTTATTTTTACCCAGAAATTCTTTGAAGATCTTGAACTTTTGTGCAGAATCTAACTTGATTATATCCGCGCCCTCCAGTTGACATGCTTTGGCTGCGTCGTCATACTGGGCCGGTGTCTCCTCATACCGCATACATCTAGTGATATCTAACGGCATGTACACGGAGTACCCTCTAGGACAAAAACCTGTAATATTAGTGGTATGAAGAACCTAAAGACAGATGATACAATCAAATGTTTATAAGAAATCCTAAAAATCCTTAGCTAGTTATATTTTTATTTGAGTAAAAAAATAACCACAGGTTGAATCTTTTCATCCAATTTTTCACAATAATGGGGAATTAAGAGAGAAACTTTGTATAGATTTATAAGAATTGTTGCAGAAGGGTTGAATTTTGAACACCATAGAAAGTTTACAAATTCTTCATATTTTGGAAAGTTATTGTTCGCATCATTTACAAGCAAAGTAGGTGGAAAAATACATTTTAATATAGTTATCCATATTTTTGTTTGTGTCACCTGTACTTTATATCGTTTCGGTAAAATAATCAATACTAATAATGGTGAACATTTCATGAACGAATAGATATAGGTCTGAAAAAATCTTTTAAAAATCTGTAAATATAATTAATTTCTTTGTATTTTGTACGAGGGATGTTCAATAATATCCTGAACTCTTTGACATTCACTAGAGCAATCGTATGACATTAAGCTTGACTTTCTCTTATGATTTAATCTTTGAATTGATAACATTGTGATAGGCTAGAAAACAAGGGCTATTCGAGACACTATATTAGAAGTGAATGGTAAAGAATCAGTAAACTAGAGTGAAATTAAACGTTTAGCTAAAGCTGCTGTGAAACTTTTTCAGAATCCCAAAGAAATATTCACTGAAATACTGGAATTTACAGCAACCAATCTGTTTTATAGACACGTGTGCATGTGGACTTCCTATAATGGGCATCAAAAATTGACACTGTCCTTTGCGACTAGAAATTAAAACAACCAATGTACTGTCTGCCAAAATTGGAAAAAATGTCACCAATGATGTTTTATTGTTTTTCAGACACATAGCAAATTTGATAGGCATCATTTTGGGGGTAGTTCACTCTGTTGTAAAGAAACATTTCCCATTTGAAAAGTTTAGAACTCAATTAGCACCATATGTTTTGAAACATGAGTGAGAAAGACAGCGTAACAGAAAATCTAAATAATTATTTTAAAAAGTCAGAAATTGTAGTTTTTAACGTTTGTCTGACATTCAAACAGACAATGAAACATGAATCAGTTGTTTTAAATCCTCAAAACAAATTTCAAATAAAATGCAGTTGACAAAAACAGCAAAAGTCTGAAAAGGACAAAGAACTGCAAGAGCACAAAGCCAGTTTTAAATTCCATTTTTAAAAAAGAAATATTAGTGGTTTTGTTGATAAAATTCTTATTCGGAGAAGCAGGTAATTTCTAGAGGAGTCTAGAAAGCAACATTATTGCAAAAGAAATCGAAAGCTTTTTGAGAGGAAGGAACCATATTCAGAAATTCACAACATTAAATTTCTTCATGACAGCGCTTTAAGCCTACGCACTTAAAAGTAAGTGAGTTTGGGAGATAAACAGAAAATAAATGTTTTGTAACTCCATCAATATTCACCAGATCTTCCACCCTTTTACGTGTTTCGTTTTTCAAACTTCACAAAAAACCTTTCAGAAAGAGAAAACAAGTCCTAGAAATCATAGGATTTATCTTGATTCAGTATGCGCAAGGTAATACTCAAAATTGTGTTATAAAAACAATAGGAATTTGGATAAAAATATTATGGACATGTGTTTTAATTAAAAGAATATTTAAGTAAAATTGTGAAGACTAAATGATTAAAAAGTTTTTTTTTGTTTTTTTTTTTTTCCGAGCACCAAGGATATCATTTATTGAACAGTCCTTTTAATGATTAAACATAGACGACAGATAGAAGTATCCCAAGTTGACCAGTCAAACCTTTAGTTTGTTTTTAGTCATGATCAGGTAGACATTCTATATCCATGAAAACAGTATTTAAATCAAAGGCTTATTATTGATTCTAAACAAGTCATCCATCCTAAAATTCAGTGATTATATTCATGTAATACTATGCAATATTATCTGGTTAACTATGGGAAATTGCAGCAAAAACACGATGCAATATCACGAAATCGCAGCAAAAACACGATGCGATATCACGAAATCGCAGCAAAAACACGATGCAACATCACGAAATCGCAGCAAAAACACGATGCGATATCACGAAATCGCAGCAAAAACACGATGCAATATCACGAAATCGCAGCAAAAACACGATGCGATATCACAAAGTCGCAGCAAAAACACGAAGCGATATCATGAAATCGCAGCAAAACTTGGAAACAGGATAACATATTAAAAGAAACGTATTTTTAATGTATAAATGTATTGAAGCATGTTG